TTGTGCTAATTACTGTAAGGATAACAGGTGCTCTTATCCCTTTATGTTCTCAACACCGTCTGATGTCCCACAAGTAAGGCAAACATACATACATCAATAGCCTTCTGTGTGCAAGAAAATGAATGTTTTTCTATTCAGAAAAGGGCAACAGATTTTTCCTCAGTGGCAGAGTAATAGAATATCAACAGCAGGCATAGCAGAAGTTTTATTACTTTCTCCATGCATGTCATTGTACATCACATCTGTATTAGGGAACAAAGCTAAAATCACTCCATGCCATTCAATATATATTAGGGATGCTCTGAACTTTCCCATTTAGATCTGGAGCATTCATTTTAATTTAAAAGGGTCCCCCTGCAGCTCTGTGAACTCACCCCCCCGACTCAAAATGGCAAGCTCCTTTTTCTGCTATTTTTCAAAGACACAAACTTATTTTTTAAAGTATGCTTTTATTGATTTTCCAATATCGTTCCAATAGCAGCCTCATTATAACAATACCAATTTCATCCAGTTTTTACAATTATTGCCAATTATTCCAATGCCAAATTACATAATTTAATCAAACTGACCTCCCCACGTGCTAGATTTGATGGCTTCATTCTTCTACATTTTTTCTGTATTCCAAAATCTTAATGCCATACTTTTCTGTCTATAAGACGCCCCCATGTATAAGACCCCCCTTTTTGGGGACTCAGTTTTAAGAAAGTTTTTTAAAAATGAGGGGAGATGGCCCAAAGTTGCTGAGCTTCTCCCCCCATGCAGCTGTCGGCAGGAAACACTCACTAGATCATTTCCTGCTTGCTGAGGCATCGGGGGAAGTTGTGCTCCGGCCAACCGGCTGGTTGGCAGGTGTGCTGCTTCTCCCCTCATGCAACTATCTGCGTATTGGACGACCCCAGTTTTTTGACACGATTTTTTAGTCAAAAAACCTCAGTTTACCAAAAGGCACTGCATTACTTTGTCCCGTGATTTGGCTTCCAGCAAACAAGCCCTCTCCGCTATTTTTCCAGCCTAGGAAGAGCGGTCTGAATCCAGACTGCAAACAGCTAATCTAAAAGCTTCTATTCCCGCAGCTGGTAGACTCATTTCTTCCCTGCTGCTGATTTATGGCCAATTGTCCTTATCTCAAACACATTCCTTTGTGGATAATGGTTAGGGAGGACTTTGCTCCAAATTTTGAAAGTGTAGCATTCCCACCCCTTCCCTCTCAGTTCCTTTCTCTCACGCAGTTCCAGTTTTGTTAAATTATATTCCAATTTCTTCCTTCCTCACGTGTGTGTGTGTATGTCTATATATATATATATACTTGCATTCCAGGGAGGGTTGCCGTATCATAAATGTAGAGAAAAACTTTGATATAAGCAAACTGTGGACTCCTCTCCCCCCATCATCTCTTTTACCAATTAAAATCCCCTCTCAATCCAAACCTTTAAAATCCTTGTAGCTGGGTTCGTTTTTGCAGTTTCTTATCTCATCTTCTCCAGCACGTGCCTGTAGTTTACTCCAATTTTTTAAAAAAACAAATTAGCAGGATAACTGGTGCTTCCAGGAATGGGATGGGGGGGTATGTCGTGGCAGCCGGAGTACTCCATGCACCCAGTGCCTTTGCCTCTCCTCGCATTCCATGGGGAAGCGAGTGCCAGACTGCCAGGCAAACTGCAGGTAAAGGCCAGGTTCCTCTTCCAACCTAAGAGGAATACAGAAAATGCAATTCCATCATTTTCTGATTATCTCAGTCTGTCTCTCTCCGTGGTGTTGGGAGAGGCATCCATCCCCTGGTGCACAGGAAACAGGAAGCCTCAAAGACACTAATCTAAATACATTTCCCACTGGAAGCAGGTGCTTTGTCTCACTATTGGCATCATTTGAAATGCTATTTTGAACATTTGCAGCTTTAAGTGAGGAAAATGAGCACAAAGGGACACAGGAAGGTGGATGCATCGCCTATTCCATCACTCCGAATGAATGTCTAGGGAAGGAACTCGCATTGACTCTCTATGGAGTAAATGCATCTTCAGTTGCACCATCAAAGCCCACATTTGCAGTTCACACCCTGCCTCCCCAAATGAGCTGCTCTCCCTCCGTGACAAAAGCTTCTAATGAAGAACCATCCGCTAGCGATGCTCAAACAACCCTCTGTTAAAATTGTACGTGAGCCACTAATTACAACCTTCCTTCACAATTAAAAAATAATTAAATAAAAATCTCCCCCGTCCATCCCAAGACTTTAAATAAATGAATGGCCTTGGGATGTTTTGGAGCCTGTGTTCTCATCGTGCCTCTGGGGTTGTATTGAACAGAAGGAAGGCAGCAACACACTGCCAAACAACTGCATGATATTTCTCATTGCGGTCCCAGTCGCAATACCTCCCCATCTCCTCCGGTCTATTACTACGACAGGAGACACTCAGGCAGAGCACAATCGGGATTAAAAATGGCCACAACTTTATTGATTACAGGTGTAGGTGGAAGTTTGGCTCAGACATTGGGTGTACATCCATTTCAGCCTCCTGCCAGAGGGCTGGAACTGCTTCAGGGTCTTGCTGTGGATTATGGCCTCCACAAGACATCGATCTACTGAGGTGGCTGTCCTAAGGCTGCTGTTGGAAGCCCTGTGGCTCGCCTGCCCCATGCTTGGCTTCGGCCAACCGTGCTGTAACAGCCATTTGTACATAAATGGCTGACCCCATAAAGAAATAAGAAAATTAAAATAATCAACCATCTGTTATGGAAATATATATTCTTAATTGCCTGCAGAAGCCTGACAAGGTAGAAAACTTTTCAGCAGGTGTTTAGAAGTGGAAACAGAAGGTGCCTGCCGAATCTCTATTGGCAGAATATTGCACAAAACTGGGGCGGTGACACTAACAGTTCAGATTCTTGTCAAATGAACCTCTCCAATTCAAGGAATTACCTGTGATGCTCCTGCAGATGATCTCACAGACTGAAATATGAGGGTTCAGGTGGTCTCTAAAGTACCCTTGGACCTAACTTGTTTGGGGCTGTTAAAAGCAATACAAGGTATTGATGGTTGGTTGTTGATGAGATTACATATTAGAAGTCTGTCAAAATCAAATCATGAAGAGATGTCTATGTACGTTAGGTAATTGTATTTATATGCAGATTTCACATTCTGTATAAAAAAATGATCCCCCCCATCATTTCTCATTGAAATGATCTGAATGGGAAGCGAGAATGAAAATTCACCAATATCTATAGATATTAGTTTCTGCTCTATGGTAACCCTTTACTTAGTTTGCCACAGCATTCCTGAATTATACAACTGAATCATAATTGCCTGCCACTGTCTCTGTACAGAAGAGGATCAGAAAGAGTGGGCTGTTCCTTTTTCTTCTTGTGTTTAATTATAACTTTTCAAAACATTTTTTCTTGAAAGTGCATTATGGATTTCTAAGAGAATTAAGTTTCAACAAGGCTAATTGTTGCTGGAAAATACTTAGAGGAGGAAGAAAGAGATTAAAAACGGTCCTTCCAACTCGGCGGCAAGAATGAACTTTTAAATCTCCTATGCATGGTGGTACACATGAGGTTGCAGAAGAGACCCGGTACATGGGAAATTAATCATGCTATCTCCATCTGACAGCTCAAGTGATTAGTGTGCAGAGACCTTTCATATCTCAAACTAGCAGCACATAAATTTGATCAACTTTAGGCAGCCGACATCCGTTATATAAAGTCATATTGTAGCAGGAACCTAAGCCTCTCAGTGATAGTGCTGTGCTAATTTACTGCCTAAGTAACAATGGCTGAGGGGGACAAAAGTCATCTTCCATTTGGCTGGCAATCATGCAGGTTTCGTTTCTATTTAGAGAGTCTTTGTATCTCTAGCCAAGCTAAGATCAGAAAGCAACCATTTAATTGATGAATTTGGAACCTCTTTTGATGTTTCTCCTGCTTTCTCATTCCAGGAGCAAAACCACAATTTCCTTTGCATTTCTAAGGGAAATTAGTAGAAGGTGCATGTATGCTGAATATCTGCCTTATTTGTGATTATATTAATTTGCTGTGCACAATGTCTTCCATTCTGAAGGTGACTGAATGCTGGAGCCAGGGTTGGATCCAGACGCAGTTCTCTTTCTCTTCCACTTTTACACTTATATCTGCACCTTTCCTTCAAGGAACTCAAAGCGCCATGCCTTATTCTTCTCCACTCCTATTTATCCTCACAACAACCACATGATGTAGATTGGACGGAGAGACAGGACCTGGCCCAAATCTTGAGCTTCACAATCTTAGGTACCACTGCAATCAACTGGGCAAGATAGTCACAAATTCACATAAGGCCCATTGCTTTCAGCGAGAACTCAGTTCCACAAACTTAGTCTGGCTACAACTCAGAGTGAATACCTTTATGATCATGGGGTATCCATCTTCCCAGGTCACCAATGCCTACTGATGTCAGTGGTCAAGATGGCGGAGGCTTCATGTGCATTTTTGAACCCTGATTTTCCAGGGTACTAAATTGCACAGGAAACATCTGTGAGCATGCTTCAGAGGTTGGATCTCCAATTTGTGGAAGGTGACTGTGATGTGATCAAGAGCACCCTCTCCCCATGCTTACTTAATATGGAACTAGAATGCCTGAAGAGGACAAGTGCCTTAGTGTACAGTTTGCTTGGGACCGAAGCACTCACTACAATAAGAGGCTGCACTATATTGAGACAGCCCATTAGTCCATCTAATTCCTCTTTCCTCTTATGGGCAGCATCTCTCCATTGCATCTGGTAGACAGGGTTCCTGGAACTGCTGTCGGGGTGTGCTTTTTAACTGCTATCGAATCTAGAACCTTTGCATTTTCGCAAGTTATCTACATTCTCTGACATTTGTGGACCAGAGGTTAGACAGGCTAGAGAACTGATCTTTGTTCTTCCAGCTCCCACAACCTCACAGACTCATAGATTTTCTTCTGTCTCATAGACTCACAGAATTGTAGAGCTGGAGGGTCATTTAGTTTAACCCACTGCGTTGCAAGAATCTTTTGCCCAATGTGGGGCTCGAACCCACGACCTTGAGATTCTCATGCTCTACTGACTGAGCTCCAGCTGTTCATGTAAAAGCTCCCCCATTCAGTGCCTCTCATCTCTGCACAGAGCAGGGAAAGGAATAATGTTTGTAACTCTGCAGCGCTGCCTTGCTGGCAAAGCAAGAAGAAGAAGAAGAGGAGTTTGGATTTGATATCCCACTTTATCACTACCCTAAGGAGTCTCAAAGCCGCTCACAATCTCCTTTCCCTTCCTCCCCCACAACAAACACTCTGTGAGGTGAGTGGGGCTGAGAGACTTCAGAGAAGTGTGACTAGCCCAAGGTCACCCAGCAGCTGCATGTGGAGGAGCGGAGACGCGAACCCGGTTCACCAGATTACGAGTCCACCGCTCTTAACCACTACACCTCACTGGCTCTCGGAACATGGAACAAAGGGTGTTCCAGAACAAATGCTGTGGCAGAGCATTTTTCACCTCTGTACCCTAGGCTGGTTTTTGTACACACCTTTTATTCTAACCTCCATCCAGACAAGCAAGACTTCAAGAACACTTTCCAGCCAGGCCCAAACATGGCAAGGTGAGAGGTATTGCTTGATGGAGGGATGTGGTTTGAGGAGAATGAGGAGGACCAGGTAAACAAGATGTTGGATATCGTATTTCCCATCTAATTTATTCAAGTCACTGATAGTTGTTCCAGCTGTGTCAGCTAAGCTACATGGCGAGCAGTTGTGCCACCAGAGTGGAAGCAGACATTTATTCAAATGCTGTTGCTGCACATGCTGATTTGTATCTGTGACGATGGCTGGGGAAGAAGTTGGTTCTTTGGATTAATCCCTACTGCAAGGAACTGTAAAAGAAAAGAGGGAGATTGATCAAGAAGCTTAATTACTGCTGCGACATTAAAAAGGGCACATTGTTGTTTCTGAAATGAAGTCCCTTGTGCTACCATCTCCCAGGTAACCAAGGAATTCAGAAGGCAGCAGCCTCTTCAGGGAGAACGTTTCAAAACACAGTTTTCACCCTCCTGATTCATTTATTCATTTATAAATTTATCACTGATTCATCAGTCAGTAGATTGGAGATCCTTAAAGAAAGGGACAAATGGCTGTACCAACAGAAAATTTGATTATAACTGGAATATTGTTATATGGAATAATGATATTGGAAACTGCTACATTCTATTACAAGGAAATTCAGTTGGAAGAGGTTAGAGGAAGTCAAGTAATATGTTTATGAAGTTGGAGTTTAACCAATTAATTAAGTCTTATTTATGTATGTGGTGATATATGTGGGGTTTGTAACATTTTATTTTCTTCATTTTCTTTTTCTTTTTCTCCCTTTCCCCCCCTATTGTTTTTTCTTTCTTTATTATGTTATAGTTATGTTTTTATATGAAACTGAATAAATATTATTGGAAAAACAAAACAAAACAAATGGCTGTACCAACAACCATGACAAGCATGACAGCAGCATGGGAAACAAGGTCAAATCCAGTCCATCACCATTTTGCAGGAGCGATTCAAGCACATACTGGAAATTGAGGTTTGCACAACTGAAGCGGATTAAAGTGCTCCGTTGCCCTAGTGCAACAAATCCACTTTATTTTTTTTAAAAAATAAATGGGCTTTTTGCTGTTAAGAAAGTGATGGGAAAATGCACTGGAAAGTGTGGGATGAATGTAATGACAAGACATGGGCACACCCTGAAGCAAAATCATAATGAACGCTTATTGTCGTAAAACTCAGGTGGGAGGGGTATAAATAATACAATTATTAATTGACATCATTAACCTCCCTGCAAACAAATCAGAACAAATGCTCAATCCAGAGCGAACATAGCCTCACCTGCACAAAAGCTTTGTAAAAGCAGATCAAGATGAATGCTCAATAAAGTGGTTGCTTGGTGGGGACTCAAGTGAATTGCCAAAGGGAATAATAGGAAAACTAAGACTCATTTTAAAACTAAAGAAAATAATACAATTAAGAACCTGTGAAATTTTCCACGTACAGTGGTACCTCAGGTTACATACGCTTCAGGATACATACGCTTCAGGTTACAGACTCCGCTAACCCAGAAATATTACCTTGGGTTAAGAACTTTGCTTCAGGATGAGAACAGAAATCGTGTTTCGGCGCTGCGGCAGCAGCAGGAGGCCCCACTAGCTAAAGTGGTGCTTCAGGTTAATGGACCTCCGGAACAAATTAAGTACTTAACCCGAGGTACCACTGTATATGGTGAGGCACAATTTTGTGCTGATATTGCATTATCCCAAAGGCTAGCAGCTTCCATCACTTCCTGTTATGGTTTGGCTAGTTGTAAAATTGGTCCTACGAATGTGCCAATTGCAGGTGTACATTATGATACAATCTACTTCTTGAAGAATTGCAGGAGACAGTAGTTAGCGGTTTGTGTTGAAGCATTCAGAAAGCTGCCTCAGTAGACACAAATGCTCTGTCAAGCAATAGGTATGCAATTTCCTCACAATTTTGTATATTACTTGTATCCTAAATTTATAATTTAGGATTTTGTACTTAATCCACAAATCTGTTCCATTGGTGGGTTCTTGGATTTAATGTTGCTTGTACAAGATGCTGGCAGGACTGCCTCATGCTGTCAACACAAGGTTGAGTTTTGTGTACCACAATCTGTACAAAATCAGGAAAGTAGGTACACATGTGGAAGCCATAAGCAGAAGATGCATGAATATTCTTGGAGATGATGCTACAATAGCCAACATCATGCCATAGGATGTTGGACTCCCAACTCCTATCAGCCCCAGTCAGGATGGCCAATAGTCAAAGATGATGGAGTTGTGGTTCAGCAACATCTGGAGAGAACTACATTAGCCAGGCATAGGCAAACTTGGCCCTCCAGATGTTTTGGGACTACAATTCCCATCATCCCCGACCACTGGTCCTGTTAGCTAGGGATCATGGGAGTTGTTGTCCCAAAACATCTGGAGGGTGAGTTTGCCTATGCCTGACATTAGCTATACCTGGCATAGAACAATAAAGGCAAAATGTGGACATTGATGTGACTTTATTGGCAGTTTTGCTAGTGCACAGTTTCTTAAGATTACCTCCTCATTAGGTTACTGAAATCATTTTGAAGCTAATAAGACCAGTTTAGGATAGACTGCTGGGGTTTTTTTCCTAGTCCTAAAAACATTTGTTACAATTAAGTCAGTTGCAAGTATCTGGACTTAGATATGGGCAACTCAACCCCTCAGGATTTAGGATGTTCTATTTCAATTAGAACCTATAATCTGATTCAGTTTAAAAATGTAGGCTTCCTTATGAAGTGCGACTGTATTATTAACCTTAAGGAAAGTGATAGAATAAACCTTCCTCCTTCATCTTTTTTTTTTTGTCTACACCAAAGATCTTAATTTTTGAAAGCTGTGTTGATACTGATGACTGGGCATCATTATTGGATAGCTTTTACCTGGGTAAACAAAAACAAGTTTTGTTTGTCTCTAGATTTATTTTTCAGATGAAATCTAATGATGGTCTTGATTTGGTTTCAACCCTCTCTATAACAAGAAATAAAGAGAAAGGAAATGGCAAATAAACAAGAGTGGAAAGGTACCTAAGAGCTGGCACATACGTTTTCCTAAATGGTGAAAAGCAATTTTCAACCTTCCACTGTTCAGTTTCAAAATAACCATAAAAATAAAGTCCAATGAAACGATAAGGTTAGTAAAAGAACATCCATACTCTGAAATATAACTCTGCTGCATTTAACACAGGTGCTTTAAAAGGCTGGTGATCTCATCTCGGGAAAATATAATAGGTTTAGAAAAAGTATATGAAGGCAGGGGGAAGACAGATGACTAGTGAAATGGAATAGTTTTCAGATATAGGTACTGTATGATGGTCAGGTACGAGGAATGGTTTATGAGAGAGGGATAAATGGAAGACAATAAGAATATAAGGGGGCTCCAAAGGGTTCCACACAAACCTGGGATAAGCTGTTCAACAATAAAGCTGGAAACGCTGAAAATAAGGACAAAAGAGGATAGATTTGCATTAAAAGAAATAATTTGTATTATATGCTGATTTATGCAAATTTAGAAATGATTTACATTTGCTGTAATTTAAACAGATCTGCGGCACTGTGGTTAAGAAGGCTGTAACTAGCCTGATTGGTAAAGAAAAAGCGTTTTATACGCATTCTAACACTGTTACGCCAGATGGCGCTGTGGAGTTCCGTTTTCGCCAACCTGATTTCTCATACAAAGTTAACTGAAACGCTGCTTTGATGCATATAGATCCAGCCCAGGTGACCTGTATGTTTGCTTGTTCTGCTGCCCAGGCACTGCTAAGTGTGGCGGGGCAATGTCAAGGCCTCTGCTCTTCCATCTTACGTTTCTTTGATGAGATGTGGGGTGGGCAGATATTTCAAATAGAGGACTGCCCTCTAACATACTTAAATCAATCGATCGTAGGCCAGACTGAAGTGGTGGGGTGGACAGTGGCATTCTGAAGAGAAATCCTGGATGAATAGAGGCACCAAGGCTTTTTGGCTGATAGTCTCATAGGATTATACTATATATATATATATATATATATATATATATATATATATAATCATTCCGAAGCAGCTGAGCCTTTTATGATTTGCTTTATAATTTATGAGCTTTGAATGTTGGCATTGCTATACACAGATATTCCCCCCATGAGGAATACTAGATTGCACTAATCTGTCAATCAAGAAGCCTGTGATTTTTCTTTATTGACCAGTAAGTTACTTGCAATTTGTTTTCTTAACACGAAAATCATAAAATCTAGAGAGGGAAAATACTTTCTCTGACACCTAATTCATCTTGCTTGCTAGGGCAGCACAGCTTCCCTTTGATCATTAATCTATTAGTGATATTTTCCCCATAAAGTTTCAACGGTGCTCAGCAATGGAGCTCCCATAACTTACAGTGAAACGTCCTTCTTCTCCGGTGGCATTTTGTGATTGTATCTCACTAGAAAAAAACAGGGAAATGCTCATCTTGACAATGAATGTCAAGATGACTACTAAAACATTCAATGTAAGATGTAGGAAGAAGGATAGAT